ATCATAAGAGTTTAACACGTAGCATTTTTTTTTTCTTTTTCTAGGGGCTTTCCAACCGCTTTATTTACTTTATTTTTTGGTTAATCCTCCCCCGATAATATTTTTTCATTGATCTTTTAGAGAGAGTCGGAGAGAGGGAAAGACAGAGAAACATCATTCATCTATTGGTTGCCTCCTGCACCTGCTTTGACCAGGGTCAGGGCGGGGGAGGAGCCTGCAACCAAAGTACGTGCCCTTGGCGGGAACTGAACCCAGGACCCTATGGTGCGCAGGCTGACGCTCTATCCACTGAGCCAAACCGGCTAGGGTCCTTCCAACCACTTTAGATATGTAGCTCATATAATCTTCATAAACCCTGACATAGGTGCTATTGTTCATTTCCACTTTACCCAGGAGGAAACGAAGGAGCAGACTATGTCACCGGCAATAGGATGTGGCAGAGCCAAAACTGAACTCGGTTCTTGTCTTCTTGAAGGAGAGATTTCAATCAAGAGACGAAGTGTAGAAAAGCAAGCATGAATGTACTGACCGCAGCAAAAATACATTTAGGAAGTGAAACAAGGAAGAACGTAGAGCCCAGTTAGTGTGGCTCAGTGGTTGGGCGTGGACCTATGAATCAGAAGGTCAAAATTCAATTCCCAGGGGGGCGTGAAACCCAACAACCAATGAGTCTGGGCTGCCTGTCACTACTTGAGCCAATTCCGCAAAGACAGGGTTGAATGATATACGAGCATTTACTCCAAACTGCCAGCAGGTCATCCACAAAAATCTGCTCTGCAGCCCCCCATAAGCCAGCTGCTTATATAAGGTAGGACAAAGATTCCATGGGGAAGCAGGGATTTTAGGCTTGGAGCGGGAGGCTATGTGGTTTTAGGGGGTTAGCCCAGGATGAGCTGCCGCTGCCCATTGCTCCCCTGGTTGCAAGTCTCATGGGGCCCTCGAAGTTTAGGAGATACATGCCTGTGGGGGAAGGGGAAGGGAAGGAGTGGCATGGGGATTAAAGGCTGGGTGTTGTAATGTAGCCCTCGAATCACAGAAGGATGCCTCAAGAAGTCGAATTAAAGAGTCACATTTATTGAAATCCGGGACTATGAGGGGCCATTCCCCAAATCTCATAGTGATAAGATGGTGGCAAAACCAGATTTATATAGGCAAAGATCACAAAGGTATTGATTACATCTCAAGGTTTTGAATGAGGAACCAGGTTTGCAAAAAAACAGTTTACAGCCAGAACTGGTTTGGCTCAGTGGATAGAGCGTCCGCCTGCGGACTCAAGGGTCCCGGGTCGGATTCTGGTCAAGGGCATGTACCTTGGTTGCGGGCACATACCCAGTGGGGGGCGTGCAGGAGGCAGCTGATCGATGTTTCTCTCCACTGATGTTTCTAACTCTCTATCTCTCTCCCTTCCTCTCTGTAAAAAATCAATAAAAGATTTAGATAATTCAGAAAATCAAAATAACTTTTCTATTGCTAAACAAAGCAAATAAGTACAGAAGCCAAACAGCAGGGTTAAAGTTAAACTCTAGTTTCTACCTGAGATGATTGCTACCATACTTCATGGGCATTTAGGTCCTGGGGGAGGACCAATAGATTATTTATCAGCTTTATGCTGATGTCCCAAAATGAGGTTTATTCTCTTAATTTGTCTCTCCTTGGGTGTGGTTGGCAAATGGCACTAACTGGATTTCTGCTGTCTGTCCCCCTGAGTAGTACGATTTAAGCTATTTACCCTCTGGCTGGGGAGAAGTGCAAAGACACCAAAGTGTCCTTGGTTTAGGGAAGAAAGCATTTAATAGGTGGCTGCAAACTGCTATTTACCCATCTGTCTTTGTTCCCCTATTCCACATGTTTTGGAATTTCCTAGCTTCTTACTAGCCTATAACCGTGGGATGGGTGCTGCTTTCTCTTTCAGAATCCAAAGGTCTGGCTGGCGTAGCACCTCGGGTACACCCAGTTCACACCCTGCTGGGCAAAGGAGGAAAAGCCAGGGGCGCTTTCGATGACTGGAAACACCAGGTAGTAGGACAGGAAGCTCTGCTCAGGCCAGCAGCCACCATTGCCTACTGAGGAAGCCTGTGGCTTGAACCACAGCTCCTGGAAAATCCCCCATACCCTGTGACGACACAAGCCCCAGGGATGAGCCTGCTCAAGCTGCTGCTTCTCCTGGCCCACTGGGGAGTCGCCAGGGCTGGACCAGGTAGGCTCTGCCAATGCCTCTGATGTCTTCGTCCTGTATTATGAACTCAGTGTTTCCCGGAAAGGGGACCTGGCCCTGAGAGGGTCTGCCACGGGACAGCAGTAGTGTGTGGGTTTTTGACTTCTGCAGGAAAAATTTCACAACCGGAGTCCAGGTGAATTTTAAAGGGTATTTATTAAAGCTGGGGACAAGGAAACAAGGAAGGGCGGGGGAAACGAGCCTCGGCTGGGCTGCTTTGGCTAAGAAGTCAGAAAAAGGGGGCCTTGGGCACAGGTTCAGGTTTGTCTGGGACGAACTGCCGCTGCCCTGGCTGCAAGCCTCGCGGAGTCCCTTGCCCTTCAGGAGGTGCAGGCCTGTGGAGGTGGGCGGGGGTGGGGGAGGCTCAGTGTGCTCCTGGGAGGGAAAGCTGGTGCAGGACCTTCGTTCTGAGGGGTTTTAAAGGCTAGGCACTGAGGGGCGGTCTTAGGTGATGTACCTGAATGCAGTTTATTCTCTTCACTTTATCTGTCCTTAGGTATGGTTGGCAAGTGGCACTAAGTGGATTTCTGTTATGTCTCCCCGAGTAGGGTGATTTAAGCCAATCGTTTATTGTTAAGTGTCCTTGGTTTGGGGAAGATAGGGTTTACTAGATGGCTGCAAACTGCTTGGCATGTAGATTTTCTAGATGGCAGTTTACTGTCTGTTTTCCTGTCTTGCTTGTCCTGGCTTACGGGCCTGTCTCATCAGGATCGGAGTTGCTGCAAGCTGCTCACAGGAAGCTGGAAGTGCTGCTAAAAATAGCAAGGCACGGAGCTGGGCAGGGAGGCCCTGAGAGAGTTAGTATGCGGGGTGTAGTGGGGAGGCTGCCGTCTGAGCCTGAACGTTATACTGGAGGCTGGAGGCGACAGCTGGCCAGGGAGCGACAGCTGGCCAGGGGAGGGACACCGACCTTGCTAAGAGGTAAAGTGGAGACATAAGACCCGGCCCGCTGGTAGAGGAAGAAGGTGGCAGGAGATGGTGAACTCACTGAACAAATATTGGTTGAGGGTTTGCCATGTACCATGAGCTATTCCAGGAACCGGAAAAGAAAGGAAAACAAGCAAAGCCCCCAGGTCTCCCAAAGCATCCCTTCACCTGGAAAGAAGCAACCCCAAAGACATGTATGTGTACATGCATAGTATTCCCGGAGATGACAGTGTGATGGGAAATAACCAAGCAGAATACAGCGGGTTCCTGTGGGGTGGCCAGAGCAGAGCCGTCGAATAAAGTGGCATTTGAGCAGGGAGCTGAGGCAGTGAGACAAAGAGCCATGTGGACAGCTGGAGAAGAACATTCCAGTAAGAGGAAGGACAGTGCATAGGCCCTGAGCCGAACATGCAGGTGATGTGTGTGAGGATGAGCGAGGAAGCCAGCGTGGTGGGAGCAGAGTGGACACGGAGGGTGGTAGAGATGAGGGCAGGGAAGCACAGGGGTGGGGTGAGGCTTGGCACCAGCTCATGTATAAACTTGCAGACGATTGAAGGCGTCGGAGTGAAATGGAACGCCATCAGAGGGTTTCAGGCAGAGCTGTGATGTGATCCGACATGTAAACGTTTAAAAGGAGCCTCGGGCTGTTCTGAGGAGAGGCAGTAAGGACAGGAAGGCAGGGGAACCAACTCGTGTCTGTCTGCCTGGGACTTTCCTAATTTTGCTACTTAACGTTTGGCGCCCTGGACACTCCTGCAGTCCTGGGCAACGCGGAATGGTTGGTCACCCTAGGAAAGGAGAAGCAGCCAAACCAGGGGGAAGCGACTGCCATCATCGAGTGAGAGGGGAGGGCGGCTCAGCCTGGGGTGTTGGGCCGGAGGTGGTGGGAGATGGTCTGTTTCTGAACAAGACTTGCTGACAGATAGCGGGTGTGAGAGAGGAGGGGGCTCCAACTGGAAGGACAGAGGTGTCATTCCCTGATATGAGGGAGGAGGAGACGGCAGTTTGACTGGGGATACGTCCAGTCTGAGATGCCTGTTACAGGGCTACATTTCCATGCAGTTCGAGGGGAGTCAGTGGGAGGGCGGGACCTGTAGTTTTCCTCCGGATTCTCGCCGCCCTTCTCTGGAGTCCTTTGCATGAAACCTTAGCGATGATCCAGCACCCTTTCTGCAGCTGCAGAAATTGAGGCCAAGAGGAAGGACCGGCACAGGGTTCTGCTCCTCGCTTGTCCCTGTGAAGCTAGCTCAGTCCTGGTCAGTCCTCTGGTCATCCACTTCCTCAGACCCTACTCAGGAGCAGCTGAGCGCCTGGGCAAAACAGTCAAGCACTAAGGACAATGTCCAAGAAGAGCTAACATTTGTTTACTGAGCAGTTACGATGGGCCATGCTGGGCCATGCTTGTGCTAGGTGCTTGATATATGCTGTCTTTGTTGTTGTTGTTAAACCTCACCTGAGGATATATATATATTTTTTTAAATAAATCTTTATTGTTCAGATTATTACAGTTGTTCCTCTCACCCCCCATAGCTCCCCCCAACCCAGTTCCCACCCCACCCTCTGCCCTTACCACCCCC